GGCACCTCGGCTTACGATTGCCCCTACTTACGATAATTTCGAGTTACGAAGTAAATTTCATCGAAAAATGCGACTCGACATCTGATATTTGTTGGTACACGTTCGGGTCAACCGAGCGCATGGTTCCTGGTCACGCGGCCAACCTGCCTCAGTTTACTACAGCTGCCCGCTTAGTGACGATCATGCCTCTAAGAAATTTTGCTTTTGTGGTGATTTTTTGCATTTTGAACATTAAAGTAATTATTATATATCACGCCATGAGTCCCAGGAAAGTCAGTAGTAAGGCTCAACATATGAGATCCCATGTAAGGATGACCATAGAGCAGAAACAAGAGATCATTTGTAAATATGAAGATGGTGTGCGGGTTGTTGGCCTGGCTAGGAAGTACAACAAATCTCAGTCAACGATATCAACCATACTGGCTAAGAAAAATAACATTATGGGTGCTAAAGTGATGCATCATTACAGACAAATGTTAAAATGAAGGGAAAAACAAATGTCTCTTGACAAATTTGTAGTGAGACAAACAAGCACCGAACCACAACCAGGTCCTAGTGGTATTCAGGCGAAACGTAGGAGAGAGAGTACCCCAGAGAAAGCATCACTGCCTGATGTGATAATGGAAGGGGACTCCCCTTCCAAACAGTAACAACTCTCCTCCTTCCTCCTCATCACTATCTTCCATATGCCATCAAGAACCCCCCATAAAGGTAAGATAAACTTAGGTACTGTATTGTAGTTAGAAAAAAAACATTATATTCAGTATAAAATGTATATGTATGTTAATATTTTGGAGGGTGGGGAACGGATTAATTCAAATCCCTTTATTTCTTATGGGAAAAATCGCTTCGACTTACGATCCGTCTCTGGGAACGGATTAGCATCGTAAGTCGAGGCCCCGTTGTACATGTACAGTAATTTGTATTTATGACGTTATTGTTAGGAATAAACTTATTCCAAAAGAAATTATTTGAAAATAATATAAATTACTCTGCCTGTTAAAATACATCTAAAAATATAACTCAGAGAGCTTTACTGACTGCAGTTGAAGCTGGTTAGCTCTGTTTATCTGATGAATTTATACCATATAATATTTACTAGTCTTACCTTCAACCATATGATGTTTTCCAATACCAATTCAATACAGTCTGTGAATGACCGATCAATTCGAAGTCAGCCAGCTACCCCTCAGTCCTTACTGTACATGCATGTTTATACAGCATAGTTAAAATTAAGCTTAACAAGGTTAAAAATTAATGTTATCAACATAATGTGTTACTATTATTGGGGATGAACTAATTTGGAAAGAAATATTTGAATATGTATAAAAATCCCTATAGCTCTGGAGCAAAATAGGGCTTGTTTACTAAGCAAAGTGGTGAAGTTCTGGCTATTAGGTATGGTAATATATACATACAATACTCTATAAATTTAGATGGTTAACCAAATCTCAGTAATGCCACCAAGAAGTACTACTCCAGCTAATGTAACAGGAAGAAAAAATTCTAGAAATCTAGCTTAGAGGCAGCCCAAAGGTAAAAGTCTTGATGATAATACTACATAAAAAACTGTGCTAGAGAGGAGTTATCACTTGGGAACCCGACATTTTATGATGGCTTGATTTGTCATACGATCCATAGTATGAGAGTCCAGGCGCCTAACAGCTGCCTAAATTCGACTACAGGTATCCCTTGCTCTGTGCAAATTTGGATTTAGCCATTTTCCATATGCAAAATTTTATTTTCATTAAAATTAGAACTGTCAGAGGATGGGGTCAACTGAATGAGAGTTGATAAACAAAGTTTATAGAACCGAGCATTTGTTTTGCTGGGAGATGCTCAAATGAAGCACTCTGACATTGTGATTTGTAACAATTATCATATTATGAATGTTTTGGAAATTACATTCTAGCATCTTTGCACTTCTCTGGCATTCTACATCTCACTTTATACTGTAATTGTAGCTGAAAAGTGGTGGAATTATTTAGTAGTAATCTTCTAGAGGATAATTTATTGAAACAATGGAAAGTTTTCTTTGGGAGGTCTCTGGAGTGCATCCCTAGCATCATGTAAATCTAACTTTGCTCTGGCCAAGGTTTTCCAGGAATCCATCACCTGTGCAGATGAAGGGCCATCTGTACTGTACTGTACATTAAAATCTGTTTTATTTTTATTTTTGGTATATGCATTAAAGACAAATAAATCTTATCCATGTTTAATAGGTGGCCTTGCAAGCACCTACAGTCTGCAGCACTAGTGAACATTATACCATTTGAAGCTCAAGCAATATTAGGCTAACTTAATTTTTTTTATAAAACTTTAATTTTTGTTATAAAAATGCAAATAATACTATTAATGTGCTTTTTCATGTCTCTCCCAAAAAGCAGCTCCCTTTTCATGGATGGTAAAATCTTCAATCACATTAAATTATCAAGTTGTAAATTTCTAAATCTATTGTGGAACATTTTATTATAAAATAATTACAGTACTCATGTCTTTATAAACATATAAATGGAAGATTACAGAAACAATTAAATCCTATCGGCATGAAATTTTTAAACCCCCATCCACCCACCCTAAAAAACTTACCAAAGAAACTCAAACAGTCTGAGTAAGAATACACCGGGTATTAAAATAATAATATGACCGATAGTATGTATTGGATTTAATTGGCCAAGTGCTAAGGCAGATAGCAATTCAATCATTTTGAGAAAGAAATGAAGCAAAGCAAATGAAGAGGTGAGAGTGAAGATGCAGAGCTCTAACCTGATATCAGTGAGGAAGCCCAAGTATGAAGAAATGGCGAAGAAATTCATCGTTATGATTTGAAGACCAGAGAGAGCTCAAGTTTTCCCTCTTGGGGCATTATTGACAATTACCACATTGTTCTGTCAGTCACATTAAACACTGGTCAGTAACTCGAGAGATGGTCACTGACATGGCCTTACTCTTGACTTGATAAACCATGTATGAGCTTCGTGTCCTTAACATGGTATATCCATACACGAAGAGCTAAGGACACCTACAAAATTGCCAGATATCTGCCTCACATTTTTCTACTCTTTGAAAGTTAGCTGCACAGAACTGACCAGTTGAGTATTACTAAGGTTTTCAAGAAATTGACGGCCTTCCATCATAACCTTCCGCCCCAAGCTTTCTAGCCAGCAATTTTTAATTTTGTTTCAGTTTATATACAGTCTTAAACTACGTGTAATGGTGAGCAGAATATTTTTCTACTTTTAATTATACCTAGTATATACAGTACAGGTATACAATATATGTGTGTGTGTATATTGTACATGAATGTGTGTGTGTGTACTCACCTAGTTGTGTCTAGGTGAGTACACACACACACAGTTGGGCTGTGTGTGTGTGTGTGTGTGTGCGTGTGTGTGTGTGTGTGCGTGCGTGTGTGTGTGTGTGTGTGTGTGTGTGTGTGTGTGTGTGTGTGTGTGCGCGCGCGCGCGCGTGTGTGTGTGTGTGTGTGTGTGTGTGCGCGTGTGTGCGTGTGTGCGTGCGTGTGTGTGTGCGTGCGTGCACACATGTGTAAGGAGAGGGGGAAAGGGAATATGCCTCTATAAAACAATTTTCTCCCAAATTCATGATTGGTAAATTCACAGTAGGCACTGGAAAACTATCATCATGAATTAACACATGTCTTACTACATTTGGGCTAAAATAAGTGTTGAATAAATAAAAGAAAAGTTATCATCCAACTCACTCATGTAGTGTTCAAAACACACTGCGAATGCCAGTCTAACGACTTTCTGAACAGTTATGTTTATGCTTGATCGCGCTAGTTCCAAACACCTATCAACTTGTGAACACATATATCCAATATACTGTATTTATTATCAATATATATATAGCACAGATTCTTGAAAAAATTAATACAAAACTTCACTAAAATGCCCAAAGTTCATTATCTTAAGGTTCAGAGTACTCCCACCAGTCCTTCTCATAACCTTCATGGACATGTTCTAGTAATTTTCTACGGCGCTGATCACAGTACCTGGGGATAAGAAGAGGGTCTGAAAACATGTAACAAATATATTGTGAAGTAAAGCAGCTGTTCTCAATTTGTGGTCTATTGTGACTACTCAGTATTTTTTTTTAGTTCACAGTGAGAAGAAAATACAGCAGTCATGTCAGTTACAAATTAATTTAATTTCAAACCAAAATGCTTTATCTGCCCTTTTTATTATGTCTCAAACATGAGGTAGTTCACAAAATTATATTTTAATTGCCATGTGTGGTCCACAGACAGAAACGAGTTGAAAACCACAGATGCAGAGGAAAACCAAGATGAATGGATTATATTTTGGGATAGCATTTCAACTGTAGTGGATTTAACAAAGCTAACGAAAGATATACAGGACTGTTGCATCATCTTTTACATACAGTGTTACCTCCAGATGAATTGTACTGCAAATCATGCATTCCTCTACATTTTTGTCAAATTAAGACTTGTTCAAACAAATACATCTATTACAAAATTGTACAGCCACTTAAAAGTTTCTGCTACTCTCAGTCTCTTGACCATTTACATAACTCCTTCAAAGACTGTATATTGTACTGTATATTACTACAAGATTACCAATTTCATGTCAGCTTTAGAGGTATATGCTGTATGACTACTTCATGCTATGTCAATAGCAGGGAAGCTCTTAGTCTGACCCTTGGATACTGTTACCGAGTCTGCAATACTCAATTTGTGTTCTCGAATTAACATGATAGCTTAGGTTAATACAAACATTATCATTAGCCCCATTTTCTCACATCTCAGGTTTATCTACATCACTATCAATTGGTACTTAATAAGAAATAATTGTGGATCAACTTGATAACTGCATATAGACGCTTACAATAAAATGATATAAAACTACCTTTGTTTATTAATAATATGAAAATAGGCATTTTAATTTAAATAACTTCAATATAGGTAGTCATGAAAGTTCAAAATATTATACTGCATTATGAACTATTCACTATCATGGAGTTAATCTTGGGGTCTGTGATGATCATGACAGCATGTCTACAGAATGCCAAAACAACGTGTGACACGATTCAATTGAAAAATATAACAATTACGTGAGCCATGTCCTAAATGGCACATTAATCAAATTCATAGCTACCAGGAGATGCAGCTAATATAAATGTACTCTTAAAACTACTAAAATATCATGACCCAAAAGATGATGCTCACCTGTATTTATCTTGAACTTTTTGTTTGATATCTGCCAAATTTTCTTGTGTTATGTCGCGTTCTAGGTACTCACTCAGAGTCTCCGTGGCACTTTCAACATCCTTCTGATTATCTTCAAATATTACAGACTGGTTGTTCTTCCGCAGGTAATATGCAAACACATAGGTGAACATTAATGTTTGCCGACACTCGCATAAAATGTCAACAGCCTTCTTGAGGAATTGTACCTGCAATAATAAAATATATTAAAACATGCATTTTTCATTTGTTTTTTGTATTCAGTGAGCTGCAGTAAATGTAAATTCTCAATTAATCTCTAAACTATGCAGCTATGTATTTAAAAGTAAAACACTAAAGTATGTGCATGTGTATAGATAGTTAAATGAAACCGTAAAAAAAGAAACACCACCAGCATTGATTGTAATGAAATGCCAATTTTGAGGAGAGCCCTGGTGACTCCCTGACAGCTGATTTCTGGCTTGTTCTGGCCAGGTTCTGGCCAGGTTCTGGCCAGGCTCTGGCTTGTGGGTCCCGATCGACTTAAAGGAACTCGGCAACTGATGGTACCTAGTAGTTAGGCACTGTATCAGCATATTAACTTCAGGGAACCACAAGGAGTTTCCCCCAAGAAATAACTTATGGTGAATGAAGCACAAGATTAAGTCACAGACCTGCAATTTGAGTACATGAGGGCAATTAATATCTCTATTTTTTAATATCTACTGTTGCAATTCTTCAAGTTGAATTTAGAAGATGTTCCTAAATCTTTCCCAGTAATCTCCATGGAATCTGTCTATCATCATTCATCAAACATGTGAACACAAACAGCACTATTAAATTGAAGGCAACTGGAGTGCATCTGATCCACAGATTGACTTACCCTTCAAAATTAACAACTATAAATTTCTGGTCGAGGTCCACAGCTTTAATATTACAGTAGTTATGTTGGCTTTCACAAGTATAACTGAGCTAGTGTGATGATTTTCCCATTTAAGCTGAAGGATAGTACAGAAGCAAGCTTGATGCATTTTTTACTGACATGTAATATGTTCTTGAAATCGCCCAGATTATATTCAAAGAGGGGGGTCACGTTAGTCTTTTAAATAGCGTGTCGATAAGGAGCCTGGCACATTTGGGTCGAGAGCCATCTTTCGTTTAATTTCCTTTGTACATTATTTGTCATTTTGTTTATGTTAGTTTGTGGAGCTGAGATAGGTTGATTTGGAGGTTTAGGAAAATGTTTTGGTATATAATGTATTGAGATAAAATACAAAATTCATTTCATAAACTGGGAATATGGCAAGGACAAAAACATAAGGTACACAAAAGTACTTCTAAATTTGTGGGACTACTAAGAGAAATTACCTCAATCCAAGACATGTTGTGTTGTTGCATCTCCTCCATCTTTTCTTTAACAGAGGCATACAATTTGTGCTCAAACTTTAAAGATTGCATGTGGTTCATATAACGATTACAGTAGAACAAGTAACGTTGAAGAGCAGCACGAGATTTTTCTTGGGCATCTCGAGCTTGTTTTGCTTCATCCTCATCATAACGATTACAAGAGTACCTGTCAAAACCACCAACTGTAAAAAGTGCTCAATTCTGAAATTCACATGAAAGTGCATGAATAAATATTTGCTTAGAAATGTTCATAATTAAACTGGTTTTGTGTAACATACATATTAAGTACTGTACAACTGAAAAATACATATTGGTCAAAGCCCCTCATATTGCTATCAATAATAAGGAAAGTCCACAAACTCAATTTGCTTAACTAATTAAATTTTTAATATGTGCAAAAGTAGTAAACAATGAATATTAAACTAAATCAAAATTAATATAGAACAATGTGAAACCACTTTTCACGCCATATAATTTGCATTACATGTTAACTCTAGTCCCCCATTTTCTTTCTTAAATATATTTCTTAAAATCTATGAAATACAGGAAATTAGTAAGTAAACAAACTTATGGGAGCTGTGCAGTGCTGATCATAACTCTGTAATGTTACTCTTACTTTGTATGTACCCAATTCTCAAACAACTGTTAGTGTTCTTCTTCAATATTTCTAACCCTTCAGTTTAGTGGGATAAATTTACTGCACATTCAATAATTGCTCAAGTCATAGCATATAATTATGCTAAACAAACAAATAAATGGAGTTAGAGGAAACTAGTGACAAAAAAAAAAAAAATCGCAAACCTGATTTACAAACCTGAGGCTAGATACACTTTACATATAGTGTATCTAGCCTTTCCTAATTTGTTGCATTTTTGGTTCACTTTGCTTTTTGTCAAAATAAACATATTATTGTGTATAGAAAATGGAGACAACCTGAGCATTACCATGAAGACCCATGGGGTTCCCAAGGTCCAAGACAGACCCAACAAAAGTCAGCCTTACAACTTTGGTTCTTGCACACCATATGATTACATCCGCCATCTTTCTCAATAGTTACTTTGCACTTTGGACATTCCTGAAATAACATAATTAATATCTTCAGAAACAATATACACAATTTTCTGAAACACATCATCATTACCATTACATCATTTATCACTTTCATGGGGTGTGGAGGAATCCTTCTAAAAATAGGTAGAGGGGCTAATGGTACTGCAGAGGAGTGGTGATGGCTATCCTAAACTGGATAAGGGAATGGCATTTTAAAAGAAACAAAGACTTAACATAAATTGACTGAATCTGAGTGAGAAACTGTTGTAAATTGGAGAGCCACATGGCTCCATCATTGGACCTTCATTGCTTACCATATAAATATATGATTAACACACAGGTTTTGACTGGTCAGCAACATTACAAAATTTGCAGATGCTATAAAAATAGCTCAGAAAATAATATCAGAAGACTCAAAATTACTTCAGCTTATACTGAGATTCCCTCCCCTCTCAAGGTCATACTACTGACATTCTCAGGGCTGCAATCCCACAACAATTGACTAACTCTCAGGTACTCATATACTGCTAGGCTAACAGAGGTACAGTATTAGGTGAAAGGAAACATGCCCAACTATTCAAATAAGGCAAATAGGATACTGAACCTGGATTCATATCTAGAAACATTAAAAATAAGGCATTTTAATATTCTACATCAACTTTATTTTGTTTTTGCTAGACCCCATTTAGATTGTGCAGTTCAGTTTTGGGCACTTTACTATAGAATGTATATAAATTTATTTGAATGAGTACAGAGAATGATTATAAAGTTAAGCCCATGGATTAGAAACCTATCTGGGAAATTTTATCTACCATCTAACATATTCTCTCAGGGAGAGACTTTTAATTTTTAATAATAGTAATACTTGTAATTGTTATGATACTGACTCACCTTTGTGTTTGCAGCAATCCAGTTGGATGTTTCCGAGTCGTCATCACACTTCTTAATCCAGCGCCGGAGAAGGTGGCATTTAACAGGATCATGCCAGTTCTCACCACAGTTAAAACAGAACACATTCCGACATTTGCACATTACAGGTCGAGCATCAGGATACTGCACTTTGATGGCATAATTACAGTCTGGGTAAGGGCACCAGCGCAATAGTCGATTACACTGTGTGTTGGATATATTAATACAGTGATAGTATATTGAATAGGCTGTAAAAATTGCAAAATAAAATCTGAGAAAGTAATAAATATATGTTATATGGTGGTCTTGATTTTCTGAATCAGATGAGACCCTATCTGGTCTGTTATGCCAGTGGTTGTGGAGCAGCAATCGGTATTCATTATGCTCAATTTTGATCCATAAACAGGCCTTCATGAAAAGACAACTACCTGTACTATGCTATTATTTGGCCTTAAAAATGCAATTCAAGCAATGAATAGATTGTTAGTACTGTAACAGATTGGTAATTTGGATTTTGATAAGCTATATCCCCAAGAAATCCGAATGAATCTATGTTCAATTTTTTTTACCTTTAAACCTAAATGAGAATTTGGGTAAAAAGGTTATGAGGAACAATAAACTCAAATATATTAAAATTAAAGAGCTTGACTGTTAACTCTAATAGAAATTTATGTTACCAATAACAATTCGGTTATGAGTGCCTAATCTTTCTACTCCAAAGTTGGAATAGAATGAAATAACTTCACATTGTAAGCACTGACACAACATGCCGACGGCTTATCGTCCCCTGGCCGTTGGTGTATCTCCACATGATTATGTCTTTTCCCTTTATAGAGTCCCCAGCTTTTGTTGTTGTGTAGCAGGAAAGCTGGCAGTCACAGTCAGTCAAATGGTCACAGCCAGCCAGGCATTCACAGTTAATCAAACAGTATGTGTGATGTTGAGCACTCTCTACGAATGTGTAGTTGTGTGTACTAATATCTCTCTCTCTCTCTCATTATATCGTATACTGGTACAGTACTGTATCTACAAGTAATAAGCTGGCTCTAGACAGGTAAGTCAACAATCAAACACTTAAAATTCTTGTTAGTCCCCCTGAAAGGTGGCCCCCAGGCCACCAGCTCTCAGGAAGCGAGTATCATATTATATTTATACTGTTTTGAAAGTGATTAAAGCGGTGGGAATGGGAGTTGTCTGGTGACAGGAGTGAAGGACTGGGAGAGGGGAAGGTAGAGGCAGGAGGACAGCAAGGACAGCAAGGTGTGGGGATGAAAGACAGGAGGAGGGACAGGGGTATCAGGCTGGGAGGGACTGAGGAAGGACTGGGTGTGGCCAATAGGTAGTCTAGCCAGTTGGTCGGTACAAGTCCTAGTTCTGATATCTTGTATTCAAGGCGGGTGGGCCCAGACTTGGCCAAAAGCTTTTGTGATATTTGTGAGCACTACATTGCCAGAAACTCTCAGCCACCCGCCCTCCTGTGACTATGTAAAAAACTGTGTGTGTGTACAGGCTGTCCTGTATTGTGTATTTCTTAGCTATAATATGAACTATTTTTTAAACTGTCTGCCTATGTATAATGGCCGACTCTATCAAGCTGCCCAGCCAAGTGTTCTTTCCCTGTGTGATTCTTCTTTGTGCAATTCTATTACTAAAAGATTTTCTTTCAAACATATTTTTGTTCTTAAAGATAAGCTATAAGTAATTGAACTTTGTGAAATAGCAATTCATTTTCGGACATTCATGGTAAGAGATTCAGCTAATTCAAATGTCCAGGTGACTTGAATGGGGGTGGGCTAATTATAATTTAGATTATCAAGATTAGACAATACTTGGTTAATAGTAAATCATTTTTAGTATGTATTATACTGTTTTAATATTGACAAAACATAAAACACTTAGTTCATTCCATCCATTCATATTTTAATTCAGTGAATACAGAGGTTCAGGAAACAGAAGTTGTAGAAAACTCAAGAGCACACTGTACTAGGTGAAGAGTATGGCCAGTTCAACTGATCATACATTTTAGAGGGGAAAACTAAATTGTGGCTTCTATGTGAATAACAAGGAAGGGGTTTCCATTGTATCAAGTTTTTGCCTTTGTTTGCCATTAATTAATTTTTTCCTGACAGTAAATAACAGAATACAGTACTGTACATCTTTGAACATGTCTACAAAAGAATACTAAAATAATGAATTTTGCATATACTGTACAGCTAATGTTATTGGGATAATGTCAGTAATTCATTAGATTTTCTGTATACAGTATTAGAATAATAAACGTTATACAAATTAAAATATTTTCATTTGTTGCAGTAAGGCTAAACAGGGAAGTGATAAGTGAACAAATGATTCAAAATGGCCATTAATGATGGGGGGTTGGATTCATTAATAATTATCCATTCACATCTACCTATTAAGAAGAAACTAATAATAATCCATTATAAAATGTATACTTACCTCAACAAAGCTCTTTGTTATAAGGTGCTGGTATTTGAGCTTAACTTTGGGATCTACAATCAGCCTCATGACAGTATGGTCGTCAACAAGGATGGAGCAAGAGTGAGCGGCGCAGGATATAGTTTGCCCCATGCCTTCATCTATGATCTTTGTAGTTAAATATTCAGTCCAACAACTCGTACAAAACCGGTGGCCGCACTCTATACCCGTCATCATCTGAAAGCAAGTTTTTATAAGAATACTTCACAGGAGAACAGAACAATGCCTGGCATTGAGAACATATTACCTCAAGCCTCCTCGGGTGAATTACTGTACTCTCCACACATTTTTTAAATGGTGCAAAATTGAAAGATGGTAGCTGGCCAAGTCACTTACACTAGTCATATAGAATAAAAGAATATTGACAATAAGAAGTTAAAGCTCTTTAAAACAAAACAAAAAGAAAAAGTCCTACATTTTTCATAATACATATGGAAGCACTATTTACCAGGAATATTTTCTTGTAATTTTAGTAAGCCATTCTGAAATTCACATGAAACTTATTTCCAATTTGAAGATAATTTATTTTCGTAGTTGCAAAATGTCTCCACAGAACAAAATATACAATTCCCCCACCACACATGCACACTAAAACAACATATTGTAATGTTGTTTTCTGAATATACTGTACATATACTTACTGCAGAAGGCATATTCAGGAAGCAGATGTCACATTCTTCCATTCCATTACTGGTTTTAATAGGTACCTGCCATATTAGAAACTAATTAATGAGACAAACATAGACAGCTGCTACAGTATAACATTATAACAAGAAAATAATCATCACATATTTGAAACTAAATGTTTTTGAGCCATACATTATCATCATCTCATTTTCCATTTTCAAGGGATGCGGGAGGCATTAGCCCAGTGACAGATAACACAGGCCAAGAAGTTTATAGATATCAAATAATAATGCATTAAAAAAAATCACTTGCCCATCCATTATACAACATACAGCATTACAGATAAACCAGCACCACCACAATCTAGCAGTTATACATGGCGGCTCCTCACCATTTCATTAGATCAGCTGTACAAAGTTACTTGTGAATTGTGATCAGTCAGACCTTAAGTATTCCCTTCACCGCTCTAGTATCAAACACATACACTTCAGCATGCTTTTGTCAAAATGTGCACACTCAAACACTTTTGTGCCATTTCGGCCTTTATCTGTACCATAAACAGTATACAGTATTTATGAATAAATGTAAAATATTTTTATCAATAAATAACTCCTCTCACAAACCTCACATCTTTCATGCTTCTATTTCATCTTCTATCAACAAATATACAGTGAAAACCTATTCCCAATGTTTCCAGGCCACCTACAGTTCCACTCTATCGTGATCTAGTTTATCTAAACTATACTTTTTTAGTTTTAGTCTATCTCACAGGCATATTAGTAAATCGACATGCTTTAACTTTTGTGTATCACCTACGTAGCTTCACATCTTATCCTTGATAAGACCTTAGCCTTGATTCAAGCATTAGTTTTTATGGACCAAATGAAGAAAAAAATCACGATGACCAAGCATGAGTTCAGCTAAACCTTCCTTATACCATCTGCAATTATATGAGAATACAAGTGCTATAACATCTGCAACTATATGAAAATACAAGTGCTATAACTTCTGCAACTGTATTAGAGGTGCTACAACTGCAGTACAGTACCTACTTTTGGGGCTTTTGGTGTTGCTTTGAAAGGGCTGACAACATGAGCTTCTGAGAATAACTTTTCTTGGTCACCATCATAGAACCGTTCCATCAATTTTTCTTTATCCCATTTAAAGTGATTCAACAATATTCTTGTTGTTGTGACAGGAATCTGAAACATTTTGATGGAGGATAAGTACTGTACTAATGTATTTACTAAGAAAGAAAGAAAGAAAGAAAGATAGGAGAGAGAGAGAGAGATTGAGAGAGAGACAGAGAGAGGGGGAGGTAAAAACATAGAAAATACAAAGTGTGTGTGTGTGGGGAAGGAGACAGAATAGACAGAGAGAAGACATAGAGGGAAGGGAGAGGAGTAGTAAAAAAGCTAGCGTGAGACAGAGATCGAGAAACATTTAGTACTGTTTAATCGCTAATTAAAATACAATAAACTTACTTAAAATTTTTACCGGTTCTAGTTTTCTTCACCTTATAACCATTACAACCACCAATCAGCAGTTGCACGTACTGTACGTAAGCTGGGGGAGCATAATATGGTAGGATAAGATGTTTTACGAAGTATAATCCACCTCTTCTCATATGGGTGAGCAGGTATACATAATTTATGATAGTTATCACTAATAAAAAAAAACTAATTACTGTATGTCACAACTGCATGCAGCCTGATGGTATTCCTATTATAAAATGCTGACTTAATCTTATACACTATGAGCTAGAAAGGTTCACTTATACTACTGAAAAGTTTGGGTTATGTAGAATGTTTAAAAAAAGAAAAATAATACATTATCATAAGGGGAAGAAAAAATCCTAAGAACATTTAAATATATTAAATATTTTATGGTTAAAAATAATACGTTTTTTCTGGAAAAAATAGAGCATTGTTAGGATACTTATTTGACTGCTCACACATTAAATGAGAGGCTCAGGTACAAAGCCCATTATATATATAAAACAAAAAGACTGGTAGAAAAAGAGGTAAAAACAAATGGGGCTAAATAGGGATATGTCAGATCTAGCACCTCTCTCACTTAAGTTTGGGCAGTTTCCTCCAAAATTATGTTACCAAAAATATATTATAAATGTTCTGTTTACTTCAATACAAAAATATTTACAGGAGCAAATCATCTTATCACCTATCTGTGCTACATGTGCACTCACATTCTACTTATAATGTTCGTTTACTCGGTACCTAAAATGTATTAAATGATGAAGAAATGTGCATACAATGTTATCCTGCGCCAAGGCTAGGAGTCTTCAACTTAAGGGTCCACTTATGAAACCCGGTCACCTTTCCCTCATCAGAGCAGTTTAGCCCGTATTTATTAATAAGTTTACAGGCATGGAAATATCCCAACCCAGGGTTGTTATTGTTATAGACGACCTCGCAGCACTTTGGAGCTCATTAATTTATTAATAAATGTAAACTAAGCTGCCGTGATTGAGGAAAGATTTCTAGGTCTCGTAAGTGGACACACAAATTTATCACGAATCGTGCTCCAGGTTATGAAGGATCAAGTCAGATAAGTAGTATCTGCCCCAGTTTTAGGACCTCTGATTTAGTGACCTGATGAATTTAACAGCCAGTTTTGAGAACAGCATTTTGATATTTATTTACTAAATTGACAGTCGTTAAAGGTGGATTACTGTCGTTATTGAATTTTCCAAGATTGCCACTAGGTAAAGATGCAGCCATTATTAGGATTGTTGACACCACTGTCTTTGCTAGGTCAATGCTTTCCACAATGTCTTTGTGGAGTAGATGTGGGAATGTATCAGCATTTCCTTGGAGTGACTGGGAATGTACCAGCATTTCCCAGGAGAGACAGGGAATGTACCGGTGTTTCTTTGGAATGACTCGAAATGCACTAGTGTTTCCTTGGAATGACTGGGAAGGAAAAGGAATTATCAAGAGAAACTACCAAGCCATTATGACTATATAGCACTTAGAAGGGATTAGGATAAGGTTTTGGGATTGGACAGGGAGGAAGGGGGGGGGAGGATTGGCACACACGCCGTCACGAGCAGGACGGTGAGCCAGTGAGCTGGGACCAGAGAGGTGCTGGGGACTAGAGAGGCGCTGGGACCAGAGAGGCGCTGGGACCAGAGAGGTGCTGGGGACTAGAGAGGCGCTGGGGACCAGAGAGGTGCTGGGGACCAGAGAGGTGCTGGGGACCAGAGAGGTGCTGGGGACTAGAGAGGCGCTGGGGACTAGAGAGGCGCTGGGGACTAGAGAGGCGCTGGGACCAGAGAGGCGCTGGGACCAGAGAGGTGCTGGGGACCAAAGAGACACTGGGACTCAAAAAAAAACCCTCCCCCCCCTCAAACTTCCCTACTGCTATAACGAGGAACCACAGCATCCTGCTGTGATAAACCTGTACCCCACAGATAAGGAAGGTTTTCCTGTGTGGATATGACCATGGACCATAGTACACCCTCCTCCTCCCCCACCTCCCCCCCCTCGCCTCCTGACACCCCCCAAATACTCACATTAACCACACTGTTGACCTCCTTAATGCACTCGATCATGTGTCTGGTGATATCCTCGGTGGACAGCACCTCGTAAGGGTAGTCTTCCGTGTCCCTATACTTGCTGCAGCCCGACTCTCCCTCGCCCTCAATGTCGAAGTCCAGCCCCACGTCGTCCCCGCTAGACTCGTTGCCACTGTCACAGTCATACGGATACTCCTCGTCTGAATCCATGACTCCAGACTCCGCCACTCCAGAGGGGGGCAAAGGGGGAATATAGTGGAGGTGATTTGCTCTCTCTCTCGCCTCTGTCTGTTTGTAAGAGTGACGTCACATAAGGCCTCCATCGATGCGTTCGAATGGCTAACTTAGGAACCTATTTTTTCCTCCTGTGTTCCTCGGTTATAGGGCTTAAACGGCTCGAATTTATACATTTTGTGTCGTACTTTTGGCAGGGAGAGATGCAAATGGTTAGAGTGTTTAATGAAATATATTTGTGAGAGACGCTTTCTAGAACGCATCTCTCGTCTTGCGCTATGAGAATGTTTTTGTTCAGATTTATTGACGATATACATCATAATTTTGGAATGGACCTCCTTATTGCTTTATTATTACATAAATATGTACAAAAAAACTAAACAAGCTTGTATAAATTAGTAACATGAGCTGAATAGCCTTGTAATACATATTTCTTCATGGAAGTTCACACGGAGAGGGGAGTTGAAGCATTCGAATCCAGGCAGATGTAGTAGAAAATGGACGGAATATTTCAGCAGATACATATCTAATGATGACCCATTAGCGCAGCCCGTAAATCCATCACCAAATTTCGACTCGATTTAAGTATTCACTGCGAAAACCTTTACTTGCTTTGATGCGTATGTGTTTCAAGTGGAATTTATTGTGTTACTGCGCACTGCACCGATGAAAACTTCTGATGAAGGTCTTCGTCTGACCTAATATCTCCACGATATATATCCACAGTCTAATTCAATACTCATCTTAACTAATTCATTACGTAAAAGCTGCTAGTATTTTGAGTGCGTAGATGTTAAATATCATACTCATGGCTTCATTTACCAATGGAAGCATCATAGGAACACTTCACAAAGGTCATTCAATCATTCATCACTGAATTACGGTACTTGTTCAAAATACGTGCCGGAGAAACAGAAAACTTAAGAGAACTAGAGGGATGACGAACACAGTTAAACAATTACAACGTCTAAGCACAGCCTCTGGAGACGGTATCACTTCATATATATTGAATTATGAATTATATAATATATATATACATTATATTATATATATATATATATATATATATATATATATATATATATATATATATATATATATATATATATATATGTCGTACCTAATAGCCAGAACGCACTTCTCAGCCTACTATTCAAGGCCTGATTTGCCTAATAAGCCAAGTTTTCATGAATTAATGTTTTTTCGTCTACCTAACCTACCTAACCTAACCTAACCTAGCTTTTTTTGGCTACCTAACCTAACCTTACCTATAAATATAGGTTAGGTTAGGTTAGGTAGGGTTGGTTAGGTTCGGTCATATATCTACGTTAATTTTACCTCCAATAAAAAAAATTGACCTCATACATAGAGAAAAGGGTTGCTTTATCATTTCATAAGAAAAAAATTATAGTAAATATATTAATTCAGGAAAACTTGGCTTATTAGGCAAATCGGGCCTTGAATAGTAGGCTGAGAAGTGAGTTCTGGCTACTAGGTACGACATATATATATATATATATATATATATATATATATATATATATATATATATATATATATATATATATATATATATATATATATGTCGTACCTAGTAGCCAGAACGCACTTCTCAGCCTACTATGCAAGGCCCGATTTGCCTAATAAGCCAAGTTTTCATGAATTAATTGTTTTTCGACTACCTAATCTACCTAACCTAACCTAACCTAACTTTTTCGGCTACCTAACCTAACCTAACTTTTTCGGCTACCTAACCTAACCTAACCTATAAAGATAGGTTAGGTTAGGTTAGGTAGGGTTGGTTTGGTTCGGGCATATATCTACGTTAATTTTAACTCCAATAAAAAAAAATTGACCTCATACGTAATGAAATGCGTAGCTTTATCATTTCATAAGAAAAAAATTAGAGAAAATATATTAATTCAGAAAAACTTGGCTTATTAGGCAAATCGGGCCTTGCATAGTAGGCATAGAAGTGCGTTCTGGCTACTAGGTACGATATATATATATTCAGAACAATAGGGGTGGTAGGAGAAGAAAATATTAAAGCATTCAATAAGAATCCACAAGTATTCATTATAGATAAAATATAAACAGATTATTCATTATAAATGAATACATTACAATGTTTAGAATACATTATAAACTCTGAATACTGTTTATTTTCTTCTTCGAGGCTATGGGGCCCTACAATTGCACCAGAGGTGGTACCCTCACAACTTTGTATAAAAATATAATACATAGATTGTTACGGTAATCTCTTGCTTAGGTAATAGATCCTGCCTGTTCCCCATACCGCCTATTCACCAACGTATCTGCATATTTTGGAATCAACAACAACGACAACAACAATACGTGTTCAAAACGTATGGGGGTGTCTAGACAGACACCTTCCCTCCACCCTATAGTACCCGAGACCCCTGGACACCTGCTGTCTGGGTAGAAGCCTAGACGCCACTCGCTGGTCGACCAGACGCTAACTGCTTGTTTAACTGCCGGCCGATAGTTACCTACAAGATTCGCGCCATTTCTGATTGATGAAGATTAAGCCACCCAAAAGGTGGCACGGGCATGAATAGCCCGTAAGTGGTGGCCCTAATGAGCCATTACCAGTATCAATAGATGATACTGGAGATCTGTGGAGGTGCGACTGCACCCTGCGTGACGGGAGATGTCTCCCGTGCGCCATTTCTGACGGCCTGGCCCATGTATAAGTGGCTCACCAGCGTCCAATTAAGGGCTCACCATAGCCCGTGCTACATGGACACTTTGTTCTGAGTAGCTAAATCTAAAACAACAAGAACAACGTCCAGTGATCAGAATACACTTCGTGCTCTCAGCTGCCGCATCTACTCTCGCTCCCCCGGGTGTCGGTGGACTCTTGCTGCTTTTGTATAATGTATTAATTGCACCTTTGCCATTAACGTAACTGTCACATGTATAAATTTCTCTTGTAAACTGTGTTTGAGCCAAATGGATAAGGGGTTATGTTTTGTATGTTATTAAAGTCATTTTTAGTATAATAAATGTTTAAAGTTTTTATTCTCTTTGTTGTTGTATCGAAGTTCAATTGAAGTTCAATCTGCTGTTTATGAATATACAAGATAATTTCCCTTCTGCTCTGCTTTCAGTTTTGCTACTGTTTATCCTCAGGCAGATTTCGTTTATGATTTATGTTAAAATAATATGTAATACGTCGTGTAAATATTACGGGGTGACTTTGTTAGTAGTTAGACACACGTGTACTTTCTGAGTGCAGTGTATATACTGTGTCTGGATAATCGGGTTAGTATGTGATAAAATGAAGGTTGTGTCATTAGCATATTGGCTTAAGTGGGATCCCTTGGTTGTTTTACGATATTGCTTCGAATTAGTAGATTATTCACGAAAGCGGAGTGGACCTCGTATGCCAATCTTAGGAGCTCCAGTGTCACTGAACCACGTGGGAGAAGTAGCCTCGTTTACAGAAACATACTGGTGCCTGTCAGAGGTAAAATCAGGTGTATTGTAGGGAGTGATCCCTTACATTCGATTTACAAAGTTAATTATGGTTGTGGCAAGAACCTTTGTAGGCTAATAAATAGTTCTATCGGGTGTTCATTTGAGTTTAGAGCAGAGTGAACCATGATGCTACTTATTAGAGCATCGTTCCCATTTTGGGGGTGAGAACCCATATTGACGAGAGTTAAAAACATCGTGGAAGAAGTGAAGCTATTTATACATCAGTTTCTCAAGTATTTTACACAAGGTGTGAAGGTTTGATATTGATCTACTAGATTGGGGTCGGGGCGGTGCCCGGGTCTCTTGTCTCTCCTTCCCATTCTTCTATTTCCCCCCCCCCTTTCTCTTTTCAATTCTCCCCCTAAATCCATCCCTCCCATTCTCCCTGCAAGTTTTTCTCCCACTCTTCCTCCAATTCTCCCTACTGGAGGGAGTGCTGTCTCCCTTTGTACCTTCTGTTTTTATCACTTTGGCTCGAGGGGCGAGTTCAGGGCCGTCTTGGCAGCATCATGGGGCCCTGGGCAAACCAGTGTGCTGGGGGCCACTACGACAACCACTCACAGGATTTTAATTTTTATTTATTATTTTCTACCACAAACGTAGCCACACATTTACCATGCTAATCATAATCAGCATTTACACATTTTCTTCTGTCCTCCATGGACAGGGTGAGAGATTGGTTAAATATATCATTCAGTGATTTATTGAACAATCAATCACAGAAGGTGATATTTAGTGCTTTTAAAATGCTACGCTAACCTTCAAACATAAATACACAGATGTCTGTTCAACATAAACAGTGTTCGGGGTATCTTTTTACATAGTGTCATTAACGTGCGTTTACAAATGAAAAATGCAATTCTGGCATTTTTATTTAAACATGATAAACATTTGAACAATACACAAGGCTTGAAAACACAATAATACTCAGTAAGCTTCACAGACTAGATGGCACAGTATGAAATTACTGCGAACTTCTTATTATAATAAGTATTTGCGGGATTTGTTTTCAGAGAATTGTATTATTACTGGCTTGAAGTCAATGGTCTTAATAATTCAGGTCTTTGTGATACATATTAGCCAGAGAGGAAATGCTCACTGCATCCATGGTTCCTGCCTGCCATCTGAGGAGCTGGAGGAGCTATTCAACTTGTGATAAGTAGTCTTGTACCTTGCATGTAACCTATGTTGTATCCTTATTTGTGTAATGAAATTTTAAAATAAAGTTAGATATATATACACACATACTAAAAGAATAGGGGCGGTAGGAGAAGAAAATATCAAAGTGTTCAGTGAGGATCCACAAGGTCTTCTCTGAGTACTCATTATTTTGTTCTCGGAGGCTATGGGTCCCTACACTTGCACCAGAGGTGGTATCCCTTTTAAGTATAAAAAAAAATATTAGCCAGATGTTAACACATTTTCTCTAGTTTATCAGAAGCAATGGTTTTCAATTGACTGAAGAAGAAAACAGATTTCTAATCAGTGAATAAGCCACGTTTTGTCAGTTGAAAGATTAAAGTGTCCAGAATAGGGAGGAAAATTTCCACCTTGAATTTTTCGGTTTTAATGAGAAGTGCCTCTTGATTGATTGATTGATATTGATAAAGATTAAGCCACGCAAAAGGTGGCACTGGCATGAATAGCCCGTAAGTGGTGGCCTTTTTGAGCCATTACCAGTATCAACAGATGATACTGGAGATCTGTGGAGGTGCGACTGCACCCTGCGTGACGGGAGATGTCTCCCATGAAGTGCCTCTTCTCCTGATCCATCTTATCTACTAAGACGCACACTTCATTTTCATTCCCTAATTCCAAAGAATTGTGAGAAAGATTGTTTTCCAGGTTTTTCCATTGGTTTGCCCAATCCTTCTGTCTCTCGCCTTATATTCACTCGCTGTTCCTCCTCAGTTAATAGAGAATCTAATGCATGTTTTATTTCTCGAAAACCCTCCATACAGAGAGTGAGCTTTTCATATATATGTTTTTTCATCGATTGATTGAAGTATACCTTTTGTAAGCCATGGGTTTAGATTAGGCTTTTGGTGGTGATTTGTTTAGGTAGCATGAGAGTTACTGGGGCCAGATTCACGAAAGCACTTACGCAAGCACTTACGAATGTGTACATCTTTCCTCAATCTTTGACGGCTTTGGTTACATTTATTAAGCAGTTTACAAGCATGAAACTTTCCCATTCAACTGTCGTTATTGTTATAAACAGCCTCCTGGTGCTTCCGAGCTCATTAATTGTTTAATAATTGGAAACAAAGCCGCCAAAGATTGAGAAAAGATGTACAGGTTCGTAAGTGTTTGCGTAAGTGCTTTCGTGAATCTGGCCCCTTGTCTCCCCTGCTTTAGTACGTGTTGTACAGGTACTGTGTTTGTTCAAATTATTTTTGTACACTCAAGGGGATGATTTCCATGATACCGAGTTAAGTCTCGGTAGTCGAGACTTAAACAGACTTTCAGACTCTCGGTGAGTCTGTATATTAGCAAGAGCTTCAAGGAGGTTGCTTGCAGAGGCTCCATCGTGCAGTCTGAAAATTAATCGTCAGTGTCTGGAGTCAGTCTGGAGTCTGAATCGTCAGTTTCTGGAGTCAGTCTGGAGTCTGAATCGTCAGTTTCTGGAGTCAGTCTGGAGTCTGAATCGTCAGTTTCTGGAGTCAGTCTGGAGTCTGAATCGTCAGTTTCTGGAGTCAGTCTGGAGTCTGAATCGTCAGTTTCTGGAGTCAGTCTGGAGTCTGAATCGTCAGTGTCTGGAGTCTGAATCGTCAGTGTCTGGAGTCTGAATCGTCAGTGTCTGGAGTTTGAATCGTCAGTGTCTGGAGTCTGAATCGTCAGTGTCTAATCGTCAGAGTCTGGAGGTTTGATGATGTTTATTATATTATAATGAAAATCCCCGAGGTTAGTGGAGATATTTTCCAAATGAAGTCAAAGGTGGAGGCAGACAATGGACTGCGGTCTTGATCCCTGAGCGGGACAGAAATGGTTGGCTTGTAACCTGATGCCTCTGTTCACCTAGCAGTAAATAGGTACGCGGTAGCTATATACAACTCTTGCAGGTTGCTTCCTGGAGAAGATGCGTCGACCAAGGGAGATCCCTTCAACTCTAGCCTAAACACTCCTTCTCACACTAAACATTCCTGGTCCCCGAAAATAGGGAGATGAGCATAGGAGATAATAATAGGAGATTATTATATTCATTATTATTAACATTATTGACAAAATATACAATTTTACCTAATCTGAGTAATTCAACTAAGTCTTATTAAAGTGAGGATGCTGTTCATATTCACTGTCACACAGAACAGAGGGTAGGCAGAGGACCCAGGACAGATTAACCAAATTTTCCATGCCTTTTTGGCGGGTGCTGGGACGAGGGTGGTGCTGGGACGAGGAAGGTGCTGGGACGAGGGAGGTGCTGGGACCAGGTCGGTGCTGGGACGAGGGTGGTGCTGGGACGAGGGAGGTGCTGGGACGAGGGTGGTACTGGGACGAGGGTGGTGCTGGGACGAGGAAGGTGCTGGGACGAGGGAGGTGCTGGGACCAGGTCGGTGCTGGGACGAGGGTGGTGCTGGGACGAGGGTGGTGCTGGGACGAGGGAGGTGCTGGGACGAGGGAGGTGCTGGGACCAGGTCGGTGCTGGGACGAGGGAGGTGCTGGGACGAGGGAGGTGCTGGGACCAGGTCGGTGCTGGGACGAGAGAGGAGCATATGCCGTGTTTGACTACGGGAACCATGATACCCGAGGAGGAGGAGGAAAGGCAAATACAAATATCGTGAAACCGGACAAAACCCAATTTGTTGACTAAAATAGGTATCAGGAAAATGGGCGAAAATGTTGGTGGCGGACAGTGTTGATACTGTGTATGGTGGAGGTGGTGGTGGAGGCGAGCGAGCGGTCAAATATTCAATTAACTACACAGTGACAAAGTAACTGATGTCCTTATTCCTGTAGTGTCCAGGCTCGTGTAAAAATAATCATTAATAAAGAACAAACTGTGAAAAACAAACACATGATAAAAACATTATATTCGAACGGTTGAAAAAGCCAATGTTCGTGAGCTTCTCGACGCTCCAAAAATGCCGAAATTAGTTCGTAAAATTAGCTTTGGTGGAAAGCTGTTGGAAAAGCAGGCGTGGAAGGTTAGTGTAGGGAGAGTGGTGAGCGCCACGCTGCTGCTCCTGCTGCTGCTGCTGCTGACTCTGCTCCTCAGCAGACCTCCTCCGTCAGAGCGACTCAGAGTGAAGGGCAGTCCGCAGCGCCAGGTGCTGATATGGACACAGCAGCGAGCAGGATCTACTCTGACGAGTCAGCTGCTGACGGCTCTGTCCTGTTCCTTCGTGACGATGGAGCCCCTCAGGAGACACGCGGCGGAGGGCAGCAGCCTACTGAGTGACATCCTTCGCTGCCGCTTCTCCCAACGGATGAACTACTTCAGGGAATGGGTCACGGGCCCTCAAGCGAACGACCTGAGAGTCAAGGCAATATGTGAGGTGTACCCGAGCCTGTGTGAGGATCCTGCCTACACCGAGGCGGTGTGTCGGGCCGCCTGCGCTAATGTGGTGAAGGTGGCAACAGCGGAACTAGGGGTGGCGACGCCCCTCCTGCAGGATCCCAGCCTGCAGGTGAAGGTGATCCACCTAGTGCGCGACCCCCGGGCCCTCCTCGCCTCCAGGTACGAGGTGGAGCTCGGGAAGATCATCAGTAAGGTAGACGGCACGTTCTTCACGCCGGAAGACAAGAACGCCACGACCGTCTGCCGCAGGTACCGGCAGGACCTGGCCGCTGCTCGCTCCCTGCGCCGCCAGTACCCTCACAGGTACTGCAGTAGCCTCCTCTTAGTACTTTAATTTATCAGAAGTGCCATGTGCTATAGTCATAACCAGGAACAGGTAATCATTGGCCCCCACTTGGGTAGTAGAAGCACCGCCGACATGTAGTAGTAGTAGTAGGCATCCATCAGTCTCAGGAGACTATGGACTTGCACACTGGTGTCGGCCTGGTCTGGAGTGGCCTCACCAGGGCGCAAAGCCAGGGTAGGTTGATTCGGGGGAGAAGCTGTTACCCAAGCAGCAGGTACCCCCTCTCCAACTTCCTCAACATTGTTGAGGAAGTTGTGTACGTCGGGGAAGAAACTAATCCATCTGTAGGAAGAGTTTTACATGTACAGGAATAAAGTTATGCACGTGTTGGGAGAAAGTTATGGAAGGCGTGTGTGTGTGAAAGGAGTAATACATATATAATTTGTTCTTTGAACCAGGTACATGTTGGTGAGGTACGAGGACCTGGCCTTGGACCCCCTGCGACAGGTGCGGGCCCTCTACGCCTTCGTAGACCTCCCCTACACCGTCCGCGTCGCCCACGCCGTCGCCAAACACACTCTCGGACTCTTCGTCTATTATTACCAAGTAGATCCTTACTCGACCTTCAAGAATTCAACGGCGACGGTGTTCGAGTGGCGGACACGTCTTGCCTTCGAGGAGGTGGAGAGGGTCCAGGAGGAGTGTGCGGACATCCTGCAAGCTTATGGCTACCACAGCTACCATTCCCGCCTCCAGTATGACGACCCGCGGACCTCTCCCTTACTCTCCCTGACCCCTGAAATGTGGAGCCCTGAAACCACCTCCTCGTCCAGTGATTAGTGCTCATGTGGCCGTGAGCAGACGCCGTGACACGATAGAAAATGGATGTAGCAAACAGCGTTGTTACACCTTCCTTATATTTCCCCGAGGAAAGAGCACGTTGAAGGGGTAACTCATCTATTACATATGACGTGCCATACTCTAGTGTGGGAAGATCGTTACAACACTACACCGCTCTCTGACTAAGCAATATATGATTTTAAAAAATTATGTAGTACTGGCTAGATTTTAATATAAAATATTTTTAGAAACAAGCCGATTTATTTTTTGCGTACACAAATATCAAATGTGCTATTGTCATATGGTAACTCTGAAGGTAAAATGTTGCGGCGTATATGAACGAAGCCAGAAGTGTCAACTAGGAAGATATGCGCATGGCCAGACTTTATGGTAACTACATACAATTAATCGTATATTTATGTTTGCTGTAATCTTCTCTATCATCACAATCGACATGATAATGGTCCACGACGGACCGAAACGTCGTCGTCTCCTCCTCTTCTGGTGTGTGGTTTGGTCTACATATCTTCAGACATGTTATTGTGACTCATTGTCTGCCTGTAACAAACGTTACTTAATGTCTTATTCTGAAGGTAACAAAGTAAACTGAAATAATTGTCAGCTCAGACGGTTCACAAATTATTTGTTTTCCCAGAATGCCATTCAGGCTAGTTCAGTAATATAAACCGTGAACTTGTTGGGTCCAAGAGTACAGAGTGGTACGTCTGAGGTGAAGTACAGTATCATGTTAGGAGGCTGGGCATGTCAGGAGGCTGGGCATGGTAGGAGGCTGGGCATGGTAGGAGGCTGGGCATGTTAGGAGGCTGGGCATGGTAGGAGGCTGGGCATGTTAGGAGGCTGGGCATGTTAGGAGGCTGGGCATGATGCTTAGTAAGTCCAGGACTTCCTAAGACATCACCGTCATTCCATGCACAATTTTCAGCCACTTTATTGTATTATTTATTCTCTGTACCATTAATACACATACTTAAAGCATCAATGTTTCGTCATGCATGTAATTACTCATTTTGTAATTTTACGGGTTGTATTTTGTAATATTACTATAACTAGGCTTAGAGAAACAGTACAATACTTCCATCTATTAAACACATCAGTTTTATTACAAAATCATAATATATCCCGTGATCTGGCACTGTGCCCGGGTCATGCAGGGCTCATATAAATAGCTTTATAAACCTTTTTGTGGGCAAGCAAACATTTTTTCAATTATAACTTGAACAGCGTCCAGCAAACAACGGCCACCACGGGAAGTTGCCTCGTGTGAACTGAGCAGCCTCATACAGCGACCAAATCTTGATTACGCGATGCTGTACCAAACTCCGCGAACTCGCCCCAAGGGACGCCAACTCCATACAATATTTGCGCGGTATTCTCTTTCCAGAAATGAGAAATTCTGGCCGCTTTCTCACAAGAAAGCTGGTCGCTTAATCACCAAGACTGGCTGGGGCCTCGGGTCGCTTGAGGAACCGAAAGTTAATTTTCTCCGTTTGCAAATGCAGACCTGTTGATTCTTTAGCTCATTACGGGTTTCTGTGATATTCTTTGAGCAAAATATTACAGAAATTTGTTTTCATTTCATAAGAGGGGAATGCAGCGGCGGGTAACAGCTCGACAAGCATAAAAAGGCTTTCACCTAACTCAAGGTCGACGCAAAAGCAATCTTCTGAACTTGTGGCCTTAGGGAGGAAATGCTTTCAAAGTGGAAGTGACCAAGAGCCATAACAGCGTTGGCCCAAGACAAAGTTGGGTCAAGTAGAGAAGGAGTCAGTGAAGGTGGGGTCAAGACTAGCTGGGGTCAAGACGAGGTGGGGTCAAGACTAGGTGGGGTCAAGACTAGCTGGGGTCAAGACGAGGTGGGGTCAAGACTAGGTGGGGTCAAGACGAGGCGGGGTCGAGACGAGGTGGGGTCGAGACGAGGTGGGGTCGAGGCAATGTGGGGTCGAGATGGGCTGGGGTCACGACGAGGTGGTGGTCAAACCATTACCCACTGCTACTATACACTCCTAACTACTGCCAACATCACAATGCACTCAGTTCCGGGTCCCGACTCTTGGAATTCCATATATTTTAAAGAACTGTCAAGTGACTGTAATTGTATTAACCTCGGAGGTCGTCCTCGACCTCCGAGGTTATTACAATAACAATTATTATTTATGCTAGTTTTTATTGTGCAGTTATTTTGGCTTGTTTTGGTGATATGGAGAACTTGTGTCAGGCCCACCCACAGGTGTTGGGGCGAGGGGCCACCCACAGGTGTTGGGGATAGGAGTCACACCCACAGGTGTTGGGGAGAGGAGCCACCCACACAGGTGTTGGGGAGAGGGGCCACCCACACAGGTGTTGAGAAGGAGGCGGTAGAGACAAAAACACACACACACACAGTGCGAACATTGACCGCAAGTGTGAGCATCACCGCTCCTCTTCCTCCTACACTTCTCCAACCTTTCCTTGTTCTATTTTAGACTGAGCCGGAGGAACGAGGAAACCACGAACAAAGCAAAGAAAATAACAACACTCGTCTCATGATGAACATGACACACTAAATATACCCCACTAGACAGACATAGATAAGGAGCATTAAATATGGCGGAGCCAGCGTGTTCGTGCTTGGTCACGGGTTGCGTCTAAACGCTGCGCCTACTGTGTTAACATTGACCTAAAACAATGTCTATCGGAAGAGTATTTTACGGAAATGATTGTCTAACGAACCAACTGGAGTTCTGTGATACAGAAACGAATATGAGAGACAGACAGTGAAGGTTGGGCAGATTGCATTACTTCAGGACTACCACAAAGCCTTTGACACAGTAACGCACAAGAGATTACTACACAAACTTTAGAGGAAGGCGGGAGTGTGTGTGGACGAGCA